CTCTCCTTCGCCCTTCCCCAACCCCCTCCTACCTCTCCGATCCCCATTTCCCCCCCACGTCCCTGTGTCTGCCAGGTACATCCACGCAGCTGATCCTGCACGCAGGTGTGAACCCAGAGCAACCCTCCCGAAATCAAGGGATTCCCAGTGCACCCCGACATCCCAGAGCTGGTCGTCAGCCCCCTACAGCTGCCGTTCTCTTGCATCCCCTCTAAGTGGGTTTGATTGCACATCAGCAAGAGCCGGCCCTGGGGAGAACCAGACTAAGCAATTGCTTAGGGCCCTGAACAGCTCTTGGGGGTCCCATTCCTTCATTTAGTCTGTGCTGGGCGGGGGAGGGGGTAACAACTTTCCTGCTTAGGGCACCCAATGGGCTTGCAAGGCCTCTGCATCCGCAACTGGTCTACGGAAGCCAGAGCAGAGGGTGGGAGGGGGACGCTGTGGGAGCCACCTTACGGACCTGCCTTTTGTCTGAGGAGGGGCGCAAGGGGTGCACGGCTCATGGCTGGACTGGCAGGGCTCAGGAAAGGGAGGGGAGCAGAGATCGAAGACTGATGGGCCCCCCTTACAGAAAGGATGTGGACGCATTGGAGAGGGTCCAGTGGAGGGCTGCAAAAATGATGAGGGGGCTGGAGCCCATGACCTATGAGGAGAGGCTGAGGGATTTGGGCTTAGTTAGTCTGCAGAAGAGAAGAGTGAGGGGGGATTTGAGAGCAGCCTTCAGCTCCCTGAGGGGGGTTCCAAAGAGGATGGAGAGAGGCTGTTCTCAGTGGTGGCAGAACAAGGAGCAATGGGCTCAAGTTACAGTGGGGGAGGTCTAGGTTGGATATTAGGAAAAACGCACTGGGATGGGTTCCCTAGGGAGGGGGTGGAATATCCATCCCTAGAGGTTTGGAAGTCCTGGCTTGACAAAGCCCTGGCTGGGATGATTGAATTGGGTTGGTCCTGCCTTGGGCAGGGGGCTGGACTTGATGACTCCTGAGGTCTCTGCCAGCCCTAGAGATGGCTGAGAGGGACCAGGGCAGGAGGACCCCTATGCTGACCTGGCCACGAAACAGGAAACACTCCTCCACCGCACCACAGTGCCCGGGAGCAGGACGTGGCTCAGACGTGCGTCTCTGGGACCTGACTGCTTTCTCTCCACGTGAGGGTTGTATCAAGGACAGAAGCCACAGTTTGCCCGTGAAGGGTTAAGTCCCTGCAAACAGCTGCTCGGACATGGCCCATGGATCAATGTCGCCATTGTCCATTGGGCCCCAGTGGTCACCAATCCACCGGGCACACCACAACGTGGCTGGCCGATCAGCCAGCTGGTGGAACGGGACGTGGATCAGCAGCCTGGCCCTGCTCAGCCATCAGCCCCTACGGTCAGCAAGCAGGAGACAGGGGCACACTGCCTGCCCCCCGCCTCCCCTCTTTGGCTTGTCATGTAGCTCTCCGCACCCCTACCAGGGGTCTGTCCACACAGGCAAGTGATGGCTGGGACATTTGCAGGAAATCTTCCATGGAGACAAAGCACCAGACATGTGGAGGGAGGGAGGCTCCATCTGCAGGCTCCCCCCCTGTCTGCCAACCCCCCCGCCCCCCCGCCCCCCCGCTGTGTAA